TCAGCAATTTTTCGTCTAAGGGCTTGCCAATTGTCTCACTATTGATCAATATGGGATACCTCTTGTTCCTAGTTATCCCAGGTATCAAATTCCTTCCTATAATAGGGTCCAGGGAATAATCGAATAATTTTCTCAAGCCTTCCTCTTATCTCGTCCCTATTATGGCCACAAATGTCCAAAGCTTTTGTTGGTTTTCCTCTCCTGCATGGTCATGATATCTAACTTTTACCATCTGCACTGCTTTTATAATGGTTCCTCCCCTTACCTGTAACATAATGGTGATTTAATTTATAAAGTGTCATGCTACGAAGCCATTCCCCTTGACGTTTCCTGTTTTCCTACCTCGAATCAAGACAGAAATTCTTTCCGGGTTGAGTAGTAAAGATTCTTCAATTATCTTTATATCTTCAAACCTATTCTGCCACAAGTTGAACCAAACAACAAAAACATAGATAAATCATACTCATTAGAAAATTATGGTTGCAACTGAATCGAATATACAACTTTAGCTACGAAAATCAGACAGTTAAATTCTCCCTCGCAACAGCGGCATATAAGGACCCTTTACTTCGGTCTCCCAGAACGACAGCGGTAAACACAAAAACATTGAATAGAAAAAATAAGCCACAAATTGGATTCATACCTCGGCAAATACAAGAAGCGTTTTCACTACGTAAATATAAATTCATTCATTTATTCTCAAATTATATGTCTTTCATATATGCCCAAAGTTTTTGTGAGGCCAGCCGAGGCCAAGGTCACTTATAAAAAGTACTGTACGTTTGCACTTTCATCATTAGGTGGCTTACGCTGCTGCGAAACCCTCAAGGATCTCTTGGAATGCCAAAAGGTCTTCCGTGCGGAACTGAAAAGAATTGCAGTGTTGAAACCTTTACGCATGTACTCAACTTGCATATGTATGTATATATAGACCTACGTGTATGCACACACACACACACACACACACACACACACACACACACACACACACACACACACACACACACACACACACAACACACACACACACACACACACACACACACACACACCGATGTATATATAGATACACACACACACACACACACACACACACACACACACACACACACACACACACACACACACACACACACACACACACACAGATATATATTATATATATATATATATATAATATATATATATATATATATTATATATTATGAGAGAGAGAGAAAGAGATACACAAACATGTTCATACCTATTTATGTTATATTTTATAATTTAGTGTTTGTACGTGCGTATGTACATCCATGCGTACAGAAATGTACATATAATACTTTTTATTTTTGGACTCCAAAAATAAAAAGCATTGTCGAAAGGCCATAAAACAGACGAACGGATACTGTCAGTTTACGCCTCGGCTTAATGACCCAGCATGACCTGAGTTCCCCTCCCGATAGTGTGCTCTCCTTGGAATGAGAAAATAACTATTTTCTTTGAATTGTACTTCTCATTGTTGAAGAACCATGTTCCCTATAAACGAAAAAAATGCATACTAAATGAACAGAAAATATCTTTTGTCACTGAGATATCTTTACAGGCCACAATTTGGTACTGAATTAAAAAAAAAAAAAAATACCGGTTTCCTGTTTATTCGTATAATGATCGACAAGACCTCGATATGCATTTGGACACGGAACTTTTGTTTACTGTATATCCGTTTAGATATGAATTACTTTATTTGGCCGAGAATACGTGAATTAATATTTTGTGAACTTAAGCAGCTCCGGATAACAAGGAAATTTTCCATTGGTCTGGCGATACTCCGACGACCGACCGTGCGACTAGATTACCATAATCAAATATTTAATAATTCCCTAGATCTGGTAAATATTCTGGACACTAACGGACAGCATGTTAAAATTGTGAGACATGCCTATACACAGAAATGAATGCATATGTTTACCTAATTGATTTACATTTATCTGTGTATCTATCCTGTAGGTATATATGTCCAGATTGATAGATATGTATTCATTTTTGTTTATAAGCAAGTCAGTTGCAAAAATTAATAATACATATTTACGAGAATGCAAAAATCTGCAACTATTGTACAGCGTTCTTCCATCCTAATTTATCATATAGATCAAGATATGTCAGAAAACGGCAAATTCACACTATTTCACATCCTCCAAACAAATAAAATCGACCCTTTTTGAAAATCCAACAACAAGGTTACTGTTTTGAAGAAAGGGTAACTGCTAATTGTGGTCCCGGTGACAGGCCCAATTGGCGCTCGGAAGTTCGTGTTGCCCACAGTCGTTCGTCATTTATTTTCTTATCAGTGTTTTATCATAATTTGCTCTATTGATTATTCTTTCGTCGTTTATTCTACCAATTATTCTTTTGCTATTTGTTATGTTTTCATTGATTACCTTTCTATGTATATTTTAATTAATTTACTTTAATATACCATAACTCTTTGTTTCCAGATCCTAGGATAAACAAAATAGGGTAAATACAAACTAAACACAGCAATGAATGTACAAAAATGAAAAGTACACACATAATAGTAAAAAAATCAATCAATCAAAGCGTCTGTGGTTCATTCCAGAGGGAAACAAATCCTCAGCTCAAAAATAAGACAAGTGTACCCCCTACCTTCCAAAGATCAGAAGTAAAGGAATGTATCAGTTCCAGCCCACCTGGAGGAAGCACAGTTCTGTCTTAATAAAAGTCTTCGAGGAGTTGAATGAAAACAGACAAAGAATTCTTTCAACCAGAATTTGTTCTTTTGGAAATCAAAATCAGTAATATTCACGATAGACAACAGATATGACATGACACATGAAAGTAAGGGATTTCCGCCAAATATACCTTATTTTTGTTTTGAGGACGGGAGAAACGATACCATACTCAGTGAATCATAGACAAATTGATTTATGATTATTTTTATTATTTCTATCGGCGGGAAATTAGAATAAAAATACTCGGGATTTTCACTTTTTTATTTTCCTGGAAATAAATGTCGGCGGGCCCGCCATTCAAAAAAAGAAGAAAAAAAAGAAGAAAATTGCTGTGGCCTGAGGTTGAACTGTCAGGCCACAACAGCACTCTCAACACTTGTTACAAATGACTGGTTCTATTATGCAGTCAGGACGTGAAAACAACTTGGAAGCTCGTTCTGCAATAAAGTTTTGTCAAGCTCAACAAAAACGTTGTAGCAACCTACGAAATGATCATGACTGTTTACGGACTACGTTTTATGAGCCAGGCGACTGTTTACCGCAGGCACAAGAGGTTCCAGGAAGGTAGGGAGTAAGAGGGACGAGAAGTATGGCATGAAAGAGGAACATCAAGACGCCGGAATTGGTCAACAGAATTCGCAAATTTCTGGATGAGGACCGCTGACCATCTCTTCTGTTGGTTGCAACACAGTTTGAAGTGAGTGAGACATCTGTGCAAATTATCATTCATGAAGATATAAATAAAACAGAATTTGCAAACAAAACAAAATTTGCGCCAAGTTGATTCCCAGAGTGTTCAACGAGCAACGGAGGGAAAGGCGCATCAATGACATCAGTGAGATGGTTGAGTTGATCACTTCGAATCCGTGTCCTTGATATGCGAAAGCCGTATACACTGTTAAGATCCAGATTTCATGAGAGCCCAGCGGAAACACTCTAGCTCCCCAAGACGGCGGCGAGGCAGAGCAGGTTCACTAGAAAGTTTACGATGATTTCCTTCTCGAACAGAAAGAACATCTACTTCCGCTGGGTCCTCTGCTTTCAGATGGTCGACAAAAAGTACTATTGGGTGGTTTTGGGGGAGTTGATAGAGAGAGAGAGAGAGAGAGAGAGAGAGAGAGAGAGAGAGAGAGAGAGAGAGAGAGAGAGAGAGAGAGAGAGAGAGAGAGAGATGGGGGGTGTGAGAATGAGATGATTAGAGACAGGGAGCGAGAGAGAGAGAGAAAGAGAGTGGGGGATGGAACAGCCGCTGAAGATAAAATATCAGGCCTGGAAGCGTCTAAAACCGGCAGGTAAGAGAGGAACACCCAGTCTCAGAAGTGGCTGTAAGAAAATGGCCGTGACAAGTGCTTGGGCTAAATAAAAATGGAAGGAGGGTCTACAGTACAAACTTCGCTAAGGAAAGCTTCATCCCAGACAGTGGTGGAATATCACAAAGACAAAGCAGGGACTAGCTTGGGACCACTTGATGCCACCTCTGAATCAAGCAGTGAAACAGCCAGTCGACTAAAAGATAGAACTGAGCCGTTAACATTTCACTTTGCCAGCAGAGTGAATTTCGATAAACCTGACAAAGAAGTGCCTATCTTTCTTCTAAGGACGCACAATAAATTCTGTGACATTACAGTCATTACACAGTAAAAACTATTAAAAGCAATGGGATCATAAAAAACCTGGGCCTGATGATATTAATTCCCTCCTTCAGAACTGTGCCCTTTGACATACATGTTCACAAAGTGCATGGCATGTGGCCTTCTTCATGGAAAACAAGACGTATAACCCCAATCCACAAACGAGATGAATTATAGGCCACTAACACAGGTATCTGTGATCAGTAAAGGCATGGAAAAAGTTCTGGCAGTTCACCTAAAAAAACATCTGCAGCACGACAGGTTGATGTCAGACCGACAGTTCGGGTTCCGTAAAGATCTTTCGTCCTCTGACCTTCTGCTAATCTTGCCCCACAGGTAGAACAAAGGTCTGGACAAAACTTATATACCTTTTTACGGCATTGGACATCACCGGAGCATTCGACTCTGAGTGGTACAAGCCACACACAGTCTGCAGGCCAAGCTGAAATCTTGCGGCACTGAAGGCGCTCTCTTAAAACTTTTGGAGAGTAATATTTAATGCTTGAATCATATAAATGTGCTGAACAAAAAGCATATAGCACTATGGTATTGTGTCGCGATGGGTAAAAAGGAGTTAAGATTAGGATAAACTGTGTTGGATGTCAAAGAATAGGGAGCGTTATAGGATAGTATGGTA